AAGAAGATTTGAAGTTGCATTTTCGAAAACTGTTCTGGCTGTCAACTGTCAGGCAGGTGAAACACATGATCAGGTAAGCTGTGGAGTGTGAGAATCTGTTCCACTGAAGGTTTTAAGAAGAGGTTATACAAACTGAGATTCAGTTCAAGTGGTGGAACTCCATCATATTTCATTAATGCTCTTCCAACTCTGCCTTTCTATGATTCAGGCATCTAACTCACTATTTTGACTAAAAAAACTTGTGAGTTTGAGTCTTGCTGGGTAAGGACAGTCTTATGTGTCAGAATAGAATGGGGGAAGAAATAGCCATATGAGGCTGTGTCATCACTGCACAAATAATGTTACCTTTAAAGATCATTTTTCTTTTAAATAAAATTTATCATTTTATGAATAGAATCAGGAAGAAAATAATATTCAAATGGCACCTATAATTGATTTTCAGAGAGCAGGAGAAAAATACATAGGAGAAGAAAGAGACAATTTTGCTATTAAACAGAATTATCTCCGTTTAACAAAATCTCCAATGGCACTTCTTTGAATTATAATTAAGAGATCTGCTCTCCTTGGACCTAATGAGAGTAATGTTCTATTTTAGGGGCCTTATGAAAACTTCTATGAAAACCTGGAGGGTGCACTAATAAAAATCATGAATCATACGGGCATTAGGGGATCTAATAAAACACACTTTATGAGAGGTGCAAGAACATGCAGAAGATGAAAAGTCTCAAGTTTCCATTTTGTAACAAGATGGTATCCTGAAATAGCTTGTGTCCTACAAATGCTACTATCAACACCATAAACACAATAGGAAAGGAGAGTGCCAGATCCATATTCAAGATGGTTTTAAGTCAATTTCTTGATTTACCATGAAGATAAAGACTTATCAATAAAGCAAAGAAAAAGATTTTAAAGTAAGTCTTATCATTAAGGCTTACACATGGATACATGAGATTTCCTAAGAGTTCCTACATGACAGTTCTCCACCGACTGAATTGTCTGTGGTTAGGGCAAAAGTTCTGCAGTGTCTTTCATGTTCTGATTTTTTACGTAATATCTTCCTCTTTATTTACTCTTTCTRTCTTTGCCTTTCTCACAAATTCCTTCCTCAGCTTGTACTAACTGATGTTACTAAATTTGTCTTATGTTTTCCAAGAAGACTTATAATATATATATATATTTTTCTTTCCAGTGAAGGGAGTAAATATTACCACTCAATTTTGTGAAACAGCTTAGAAATTAAACAAGCATGTCACCACCCACTTGCTTGTGGGTCAGGTTGTTCTGTACTTTTTCCATGTGCTTCTTCTGCATCGACCCGTGTGTTATCAGCTCATAAAGTCATCCATGTGGTTAAAGAGATTATTACCTGTGCAGGCGGTGAAATTCCCTTTGGAAACTTAGAGCAATAGATTTGCTGGACACTGCAAAAAAAAAAAAAAAAATCAGGCAGCCCTTCAGAAGACATTAGTTATCTTCTCATTTGCCAGCATCATGAAAAAAAATAGAAAACAAGCCAAATTAAATTAATTAAAAAAAAAAAAAAAAAAAAAAAAAGGCTAAAGCTAGGGAGATTAGAGTATCAAAAATCACAGAAAAATTTAATAGAATATAAAATGAAACCTTCTGTTTCACTCATCTCTAAAGGTCTAAAGGTTCATATGAAGCTTCAAGATGCAGCTGACCCTGTTACACATTCAGCGCTCAAGTCCTAGCATCTACTTACTTAGCACAATCCAAGGAAATAGGATTTTAAGCGGAAAAGGATTTGATTCTTTCCTCTCTGCTTCTCTTTCCAACCCCACCCAAATCATTGCTTTGCAATCTTCTCTTTTTGCCCATCATTTCTTCCTTCAAAGGTGTCCTTTGATCTCCCAAACTTCCACTGTGGAAACTGCAGTGTCCCCTGGGCACRGTTAGTGTATTTAGCACTTGCCCAAATGATGAGCAGCCAGCCAGTGGCTGCTGTGGCACTTGATCGAAGAGGCTGATTGTCCCTTGTGAGAAAAATGGCCCCATCTGGGCAGTTGAAATGTTYATAAGTATCTTCTTCACATATTCCTTCGTATAAGGGTAACATGTTAACCATGTTTTTTCAGTCACTCTGATGAGATTAATATATGCATCATATGACTGGATTTTATCTGAGGGCAGACTTAAYACTAATCAAACTTTTCAAGGCAATAATGGACTTCAGCTAACAGCTCCCTAAACCATTTTTTTGAGGTATAACGTGACATATGTTGTAATAATAAAGTTGTTTATTACAGGGAAAATTGTCATAGTGTACCTACCCATCTGTTCTAACGATTGTCTGTTTCAGTGCCAAACAGAGAGAATCAGTTGACATTTCTAAATTTTGTATGTTAGGAAGAATGGCTTTCTCCTGAGAGAATGTTCCTAAAACATGGAAATCATCAGAACATTAATACCAACCAAGTTTCTTTGGTCCAATCTCACCCTTAAAAGAAATAATTTCATCGGCTTCCATGAGTATAAGAGCACGATCTGTTTTTCACATGGGAAAAAAAAATTCTTCAGTGCCATAGAGTGACTAAAGTAACTGCGGTCCTCCCACCTCATAATCATCCATAAAGGACGGAGGTGGCATTTTAAGAACCTTGATGGCCAACTTTAAATTACCCAATGCTACTTCATTATGAAATGGAAGGGGCAGCTTCTCAAAAAACTTCTCACCATGCCCTCTTGGGCATGCCCAGTATCAACCATCACCTTAACAATGCTGAAAAATTGAGAGGATATTGAAGGAAAGTCAGAACCAATTGAGGCACTGGAAGAAAACTGAGGAACTGATTCAAAAGCTACTGTTGTCAGTGGAAACATGCCTTAAAAGGAAACACTAAAAAACATTTGTACTTTGCTTGCTAGCATCCTGTGTTAACAACATACATAAATGTTAGAAGCAACCAAACAAAGGTGAGGATAAACATTTGCTATAAATACCAGCCTGAGTAAGTGAAAGCTGTATTAAAATAAAATGTTGGCAAGTTTTTGATGATTCAGAAGAAAAATAACTGGCAGCTTTGTATGTATCAAAACGTAAATAAACTATGTGGCAGCATGCTTACTGGTTAGCACCAAGTGAGGCACTGGGAGACAGTCAAGAACTCTGCTCCCAGTTTGCTATGTCATCCTGGCCAAGTTGTTTAGCTCCTGCTTGTTTATCCATCTGTAACATGGGTGTAAGAAAAGTTATTTCCCAGATGGCAGCATGGTGAAACTTAATTGATGTTTGTAAACTTCTGGCAGAGTCTCTGATGAAAGGCGAGCACAAAATAATATTACATTCACCTTCTGGGAGCTCCTATATTTATTTCATAAATGCAATAAAAATAAAGTTATGGTTACAAGGAAAGAATTATTAAAAACTTGCTGTAATAATTAGTGAGTTCAAAAAGCGCATTGTAGTTCACAGAATACCAATAAGAACTCGTACATAAATATAGATCATACTTGTTTTAATAGCTGTTTTGTTTTCTAAGATGAATGGATACATCCTCCCAGGAAGAAAGTTCAAATCACATTCCCACTCTTTCCTGTCTCCTGATTTCATTGAAATGATAAGAAAGGCTCCAAACTGCTCTCTCTACTCCCCATAAAAGGGGGAAAAAAAAGATTAAATTTGGAATTTGTGGGTTTGTAGCTACGGCTTCTGACTTTACCCTCCCAGAGTACATTCCTAGGCAATTGCAATAGCTCTCAATTTCCCACCTCTAAAACAGGACATGGGAACTGGCACCACAGACCCAAATTCAGAGAACGCTTTCTACCGATTCCCATCTCCAGCACTGAGCAGCACCATATGCCGCTATGTGCACTTTGCTTCCTACTCTATAGATTAGATATTACCAAGGTACCAAGGGATTCTGGGTTTTCTTACAACTGTGGTTTTTTTTTTTTTTTTTCTTCTCTCTCCTCTGTCTTAAACTGTCTSTCTCATAAATCTGGCTACTCTTGCTTCCCTTAGAAAATCCCATCCTGCTCACCTCTTAGCACTAATGTCATTTTATGGCACTTTTCCACCATCAAAATAAGTCTTGGGCAGCAAATCATGAGGATAGTACCACCACCTTGCTGTTTTCTTTTTCATCTTGGCTTGTTTAGCTTACAGCCTACAGGGCCTGGATTTCTTCTTGCTCTCTAGCACGGGAGAGGGCATATCCAAGCAAAAAAAAGAAAAAGTGGTGTTTCCTTCATAGATCAACCGCATATTATATGAACTCTGCCAGAGAGCACTGTGGATGCTGATGGTTCAAATGGATTCAGAAAACAAAACTAATGAAAAGCAAATGCAAAAGACAAATCCATAGAAGAAAACTATCTAGGACTACAAACCACAAAGCTCCACCTTTATCTTAGAAAGTGTCTGAGCTCTGGTTAGAAGCTGGGGAAAAACACTATCACTGGAACCCGGAGACAGTACGAAGGTGGTGTTCCTGTACCTGCCCCTGCTTGTACTCTTCCTCAGGAGACAGTATAAAGGGGCTAGAGCTCTAAAAAGAAAAATGACAAAAATAATAATAAATAGGACAAGATGGAATCATGCTCTAGGATGTYAGTATGTAAAAAAAAGGATAAAAATTCCTTGGTGATGGATCCTGTGGGAGTCCAATGTGAGTAAGATACTGAACTGCTRCAAGGCCTCAGGCGCTGCTAAATACGGTCTTCAGGTGTCTATAGGCTTAGACACCCAAAGCTTGAGCCAGATGGAAGGGAGAGGAAGAAGGCTAAGATCTTTTCGCTTCTGGCACCTACAGGTTTTTATGCATCTGTACCTCGCAGACAAAATCCTAGCAAGTCAGCTCCATGCCATAACTTCTTCAACTTGATGTCTTGCCCATTCCTTTTTTAACTACCCGCTACAGTTATAGCGTATTCATGAAATCTGAAAAAAATACAATAGTAAAAAAAAAAAAAAAACGCATAACTTTAACAGCCTACCAGTTCTGCCAAATAAAAAAAGGAACCTGAAGGTCATCTTTTTTGAAAAAGATGTATTTGCTTTGTTTTGTTTTAAAAGGGGAGTTCTCCCAGATTATCAGTAGAATAGCTACCTTGATCAGATTGAGATATACAGTTTATGAGCTCTTTTCCTTCCCATTAATTTAGATATATCCATTAGCCACATCAGGAGTTCTGGATTTGTCTAGCTTGCTGCTAAGCATGAGCATGACAATGGTCTCCTTTCATCTGATATCTTATTAAATAGGAAGAAATGAGTCCACTGTGCCCAGCTTCATCTATTCATGAGTCCAAATATGATGTTCTTTTAGAGTAGATATAGCTATGCAGTTGGTATAATGCTCCTCCTTCCTGCCTTTTCTTCACATTCTTTCATAGTGATCAACAGAACAAAAAGCTTAGATATGGGGACCATGTAAATGTTTCTAGAAAGGATGTTTACAAGCCACAATGTTCCAGCATAGTTCAAGATCTGACTCAAGACTGGCAACACAGAGTGTTCACAAAGTGACATGAATCTTATTTTGAAGATGCAGCTTCAATTTACTTAAATAATTTCCAGTTGTGTGCTTCACCCTGGCAGTTTAATTAATACCCACTGCTGCTTTCATAAATAAAGGATCCTTGACTAAATAAGAACAGTGCCTACTGAAAACTGTATAGAAAAGCATTGCTATTTAATAAAAGTTACTAGCATAAGACATTTTCTAAAAATGGTGTAGGGAAATATATCTTTATGCAGACAGTGTATCTACAATAATGTATGTAAAAAATTGAATCACATTTCTGTAAGTTGCATTATATATTTGATTTTAAGATCCAAGTAGTTTTTCAAAACCGAGTTCCACTTGCACAACTTCAAGATCTTAATAATACATTTGAAGTAGAGGGTATTTAACTTCCTACATTTTATTGCCCTTATTTTCTTTGGCATTCTCAGAAGCYTGTTCTTCTTCAAGCAGCAAGAATTCCTCTATCGATTTCCATAGCTTCCTAAAAAAAGCACAACATGCAACATCACAATCAGTGAACAGAAAGTGACAGCCAACACCTGGGTGCAAGCACAGATGGTGTCAGAGAGTCTTCCCATTATGAGCCAGCCAAAAGTAACTAGGATTGAGCTCAGATAACTTCAGGCACTTGAGGCTGCTTATAGAGACAGAAAGATTCATCATCAGAGCATGATTCATCCTGGCTACCTCAGATGACTGAAACTTGTTGGAATGGATCTAGGCAGAGAGCTGAGGAAACCCTTTTTGCTACCATTGCCCCACATGGTCTTCTTGATCAGACACAGCAGCTCAGGAACATAAAGATGTGCTCTTCTCCTATACATCTTTCTGAAGAACAGATACCGAGAGAGAAATTTTCTAGACCTGGCAATATTTTCTGAAAATAAAGATGGTCTACATTTACAGCCCTGGTTCATATCAGTTTCTAATACTAATGGATAACATTGTATCCACAGCACAGCTTGCTTTCCTATTGCCTACCTTTCCTACAGTGATCTGGGTACAGATCAATCAGTATCGTTAAGACTTGGCAATAAATACATGGATTTCTTTATTCTTTATAAATATTTACTCATATTAAAACAAAAGTGTTTAATTTTGTGGCTGTCTTCTGGTCACTGTCTGAAAAGACACAAGTGAAACAGTTGGCTAATATAAACAAGAATGGAAAGCTAAATCCAAAAGGAATTTCATTATTTGCACTAGAGGTGTGGGCACCATCAGCAGCAGGAAAACAAATAAAATACATGAACTAATATATCCATTTACAGCTATACAATAACATTCAAGCTTTTGTATTCTGAGTATTTTTAATTTAGCAAATGAGCACTAAAAATAAAAAGGTTTAAATCCAATAGCTACTAAGCCTGAAGAAATGACATTCCAGCAGCAGAAGGAGAGAAGAAACTTGACTGAGCAAATTGTTTGCTGCAAACATTTTATTTAGCTATAGTTGCAGGCTAAATATTTGCCCCCAATTCACTGGGCAATCTCTGAGCACCTGAGGGAAGCTTCTACTGTAGATATTAAGTAAGGATTAATCTATGTTTTGCCTCTAATTAAATGTCATCTAAATTATCTTATGTGCATTAAGGGCAAAGCATGATACAGTTTTGACTTCAGACAATTAGACATCCTACTTCAATTATGCCTCAAGACAGGCTTTGATTCAGAAATCTCATGCTACTATTACTGTTCCAGTCTCTCCCTGATCTGTCCTGGAGAAAGAGAATAATGTCAGCCCTAGAAATGTGATTCACAACATTGGGAGGGCAGAATTTTGGACATCCATTTCATAAAGCAACTTATTATGCAGATATCTCATGGCAATGTGCATCTTTAAAGGGTTTATACATAAGCTCTGCTGGAAGCAAGTTAGAGTCTTTCCGCTACATCTTTTAAGCATTTAGCGAGAACACTTCCTTAAGTATCTCAGGGCTAATTACTTTTAATAATTAACATCATACAAATGAGATAATTAACCTTGTATTCTAATATACTACTAATTACTACAATGTTTTATTTCTAATAACCTTCTGGTTGACCGATTGTTTCTTTTTAATATTGTCCCCAAATTTTTACTTTTCACAAAATATTTCCTCTTATCTCCTTGGACACAATTGTATTACATTTTCTTCCAAGTTTTCTCTGTGAAATTACATTGATTTTTATCTGTGAACTCCTATTCTCCTTCCAATTTGAAATGTTATCCTGCCTTTCAAAATCAAAGAAATACTGAAAAGTAGGTTAATGCACTGTCCTGTAATTTCTAAATAGATGCAAGTGTGATCATATTTTATGGGCTTGATTGCATATCAGATCCTTCCTTTTATACACTTTCTTATGCTATGGACTGTTACTCTGTTTCTGAAGAGAAGGATCATAGGACTCTACCAAACATATAGGTTTCACCCAAGCTTCACAGTATTCACCCATTACTATCTTAGCTGCCCTGACTTATAATCAGTAGCTGAAGGGAATGCAATCATCAGTAACCAATATGCTTTCCTCAAGCAAGCACTGCTTACTTGAAATTAAAGCATTTCAGATAAAATAGGCATTCAAAAAAAATGACTGTATCTATCTTATCAGATGCAACTGCACATTAAATCCTTCAGACTCTTAATATGGAAGTGACAATTTCTCCCTAAATCAGAGACATATTTTATTTCTGCCTGCTCTAAAGACCAACGCTTTAAATCTTGCATAGCCTACAAATCACACTTCTACTTCTCTCYACCTGGTGTGTATGTAATTTTGCAATCGTCCACATAAGCTCTAGAGCTACAAGCACACGGCTCTGGCAAAGTAAGTTTTGCAACTTAAAGTAGGAGGACARAAATATGCTATTGTCTGCTAACTGTTTTTCATGTTGTTTGTGGGGAGATTGTTTATTTAGATCTCATGGGTTGCTTTACTGATGTTCCCTTCCARTTCCTCCCCTTCCCCTCATTAAGCTTAATGAATGCATCCATCCAGGAAATTTTAACAACATAATATACACTAACTTCATATCATAAATTGGGTCACTTTCTATGTTCATGAAATTATCATATATTAGTGGCTTTACATCATTAGGCAGCAGTTCATGAACTGAGAGCTAACTCACACTCCCATCCTCCAACAACAAAAGTGCTGTGACTGCAGGGACCACCTTGTGAACCCTTATGTTGGAAATTCCAACTTAATTAAGAACCAGAAATGGTAAATTACCTGAAGTGCAACCATAATTCTTAGATCACATAGACTCTTAGAACCCATCATTTTCTGTTTTAAGCTAAAAGTGAGTCAAAAATCTTTATTATTGCTAAGACCTGAGTTCAGGGTCCTGTTTTGCTAAGACTCAAGACTTTTGAAATGAACATTTAGGCTTTTCTTCCTTCCTTTCTTCCTTCTTTTTTAAATTTACCAAGCCCAGAACAATTTAAATGTAAAAAAAAATCTGCTCGATCAGCAAAACAGACTGCCTGTAATCTTAACTGTTGGCAATAGGCTCAGAATAGAATGGTTCTAATGCATCATTTTCTTTTCTCTATCAGTATCATTTTATATTTTTACCACCAATCTCAATCTCATAGCTGTGCATGGAAGTGTACAGCTCACAGACTCGTGCTCCCAGACAAACACAACAGTGGGGTCTGTGCCCTGTGGCACAGAACACAAGACCAGACATCTAAATTTGAGAAACCATTGACCTAACATAGCATTATGGTAACAGGAGACAACTCCCTAATATTTTCCAAACCTCTGAAGCATAAAATCTCTGACCCAAAATACGGTAAGGTCAGTAAGGTTTGGATCAGGAAAAAAAAAAAAAAAAAAAAAAAAGGCTCAGGCCTTTTTTCTAGGCCACAAAATCTCCCTCCAAATAATAAATGAAAATAGTTACATTGCATATGCAAATATAAACCAACAAGCATGCAGCAAAGCAAGAAGGCATGCAGGTGTGCAGCAAAGCGAGAAGTTAAAACAGCCTGATTTGCCTGGATGCAGTGATTTCTTCTAATGGTAAATTTTGGGTTYCAAACTGCCTGTGGCTGATAGCAGACACATCACTCAAAATCTACCTTAATCTCTACCTGTAAGCTGGATTTCATAGATCTAATTCTCAATTCATATTGAGCTTGAGCTATTGGTGAAGGTTGATCAGGTCTTTCAAAACKTCATTACAGTTTTGCCTGAAAAGAAAATCTATGAGCAGCACTTAAAACTCTCACTGGTTTGACACCATATATGCTAAGGCTTGTACCTAGCTGAGAACATGCATTTCATGGCATTAATGGTAGAYAGCTAAGCAGAGATCTCAACAAACAAACAAACAAACAAACTTGGCTCTGGTTTGGTGATGTCAGAACAGACAAGGGGTAGAATTGCTCCAGGTGAAGCTTGAGACAGGACACTGGGAAAGCTTAAATATTTCCACAAGTACTATAATGTGTCTATTCTATATTTAAACAAGAACTGAACAATCATGGATATTAATCAAACTCTAGTCATAATTTCTTGTTATTATTATATTATTCTGTTRATTTTTCTTAGTTTAGCACTCTGGGCCATACAGGAGTCAAATCTGTAATCTCTGATTATGACTCCCAGSTGCTATTGCATGTACTGCGCAAGTAGCACTTGAATGCAGCTGTTATTAATAACTAATCATTCTGTCTTTAGAATAGCAAGTTATTACAAGAGGAGTTTCCATCACCATAACACTTCCTGTGTAACCACAATGATATAAGATATTTGAGCATTACAGACTCACTTTTGATTTTCTTGAGTTATATGCAGTTTWTCTAAAGTTTCTGTGATGCGGTCTTCAACATCCTGTAAAATAGAAAGACATAAATTTTGAGAATTACTGAAATATCCTTCAGTGGCTAAGAAAAAAATCTGCAGTGATATTAATTGGCGATGTGTCTGATCAGCATTTAAAATACTCCAATACTTTTTACTCCATTAACCTTGACATAAATTATAGTAAGTAGTTCCTGTGTGACAGGAGTTTTAATTTAGCACTACATCTGAAGTTATGCATGCCTTTGAGTCTGACATAATGCCTCACTTCTTGCCAACTCTCACACTATGAGGAAAACCCTACAGACAGTAAAACTAGGTCTTAATACAAAAACATGGGAAGGTATTAAAGCAAATTTTTACTATTGTATCTTTCAGCATATTCCTTGGTTTTAGAATGAGCTGCTAGACAAAACTTTGTTTGGGTGCATTTATTTGAGTGATTTTGTAGTTTAGAGCTATCTATCCTAGGCTCATTCCAGTGCCTTCACTACAGTTGAAAAACAGGAGCYTTTATAGCTTTCATCTATGTATTCAGATCAAAGTAAATTGATAGCTATCCTCAATAATAATAATAATAAAATCAGGTGTGTATGTGTGTRTATATATATATACACACACACACATATACATACATACATATRTATATATAGTACCTTGTATATAGTTCTTTCTACTTTCTCAGCAGGCCTAATCTGAAACCTGCTGAAGCCAGAGAAGCATTCCAATGATTTGGGATTAGRCCTAAATAAGGTAATGTAGAAATTAGTTTGCACTATGCCTGAATCACACTGGAGTCTAAGGAAATAACTTACTTTTATTTGGCACCGAAGAAAATTATTTGATGAGTCAATTTTCGTAATTTCAGTCTGAAAAAGCAATATCATAGATCAGTTAAACTATCATACAACATTTCAGCAAAAGCAAATGCATCAAATTATCTATTTAAAACTGTAATCTGTGTAGTAAAGTACACACTGYACTTATGCAGTATTATGAAATCATGTTTTAAAAGAATATAGAAAGGCACTAGTTTAATTAGCTTGCCCTTCTTAAATGGTAATATGCTTGTCCTTTCAAAGGAGAAATGATTTGAATGCTGAATTATTATTACTAATAGTAATGAAAACGCAGTGGGCCTAGACAAATAATTCAGCCAAAATATCCTCGGAGGGCTAACTCTTCAGTGGCCTGAAGGGGCCTCTCTGTTTCCCCTCCTGCCTACTTAGGAAACATCAGAGGTTTCCCTCCCTTGCTGAGGTGGCTCGCTCCTGATGCAACCGCCTATACAACATTGCCATCTGCTGACTGCCCACTTTCATTACTGCACAGACAAACCGCAGTCCAAAACAAACCAAAACAAACAAACAAACAAAAAAACCCTCAATGGACTCAGAAGTTTGATCTTCTTAATTGTCATTTTAGAGTAAAAAAAAATAAAGAGGAATTTCGATTAGCTCTTTCACTCTTTCTTAAAGGACCTGAGTTCATACGCACGTTTCTCATGTGGCTGCAGAAGCACCCCTTACACCTAGGTATAAGAGAGGTGCAAAAAAAGGTGCACAGGGCATGAGGTCTTCTGCTTACCAGCGAAAAAGGTAATTGTTACTACTAACTTCTGTTATTCATTGTTTTAAAATCTTGATACTAACTACTAAATTGTCTAAATTAATCAAGAGTTCATCTCCTCCTGCAGCTCCCACTGATGCGAGGAGGTCTGCTGATTATCTTAGAAACAAGTGACAGACGTCTGTCTTGTTCTCTTAGGTAGCAGCACAAGGAGTTGCTTGAAAAAGCTGGCTGGAAAAATAGTAACCTTGAATATAGCATTCAATTTAAAGGCATCCAAGCATGACATAGGAGCACAATGGCAGTCACTGTGCCTGAACTGGTAAGGACAAAAATTTTTGAGTTGTGTGTTTTTTATGGTTTTCCTCAGCTTTCCTGTGACTTTCTGACTGCTCTGTTTGCTCTCAGTTCAAATAATTAAATGGATTAGATGTCGTGTCAGCAGCTATAATTCTGCTTCAGGGGCACAGAAAGTTTGGAGAAATGCTTGACCTTCTAGATGCTTATCCAAAACCAAGCTCTACATAAACATTCTGTCATTTGCCCACCATTAACAGTGACACATTATTCTCTGTTCACGCTCACTGTACTTTTTAGGTTCTATTTAGCTGCGTGAAATTACCTCCTCACTTAACACAGCTGGAACTCTTATTAGCATAACCAGTGACAGGGACAGGTTAAAAGCGGTTTTACTGAGAGCATGTGCTGTTTCTATACTTCACAATTGCCAGTAGCAAAGAATAGTGGTTTTAATGCTGCATGTGCCATTGCTGCAGAAATTTGCAAGTGTTTAACTTGTATAGTATAAGTGGTCCTGAGGCAAGCCACTCTCAATATGCAATTTTTAGCACATAAATAAATATCTGTAAGTTCTGTACTTTGACTTGTACTTTGACTTCAGTACAGGCCTGTGTCCCACTGTTTGCTTTGTACAGCACCAGTCACAATGAGAGCTCAAGCAGTAATGATGGTGTTTACTGTACTGTAAAGAAAAAAAAAAAGTAAGTAATAATGGTGCTGGTACCTAAATATCAACACTCCTCAAGAAACCTTGCTAGAAAGAGTTTAGAATTAATGATTTCTTGCCTCTACATCTTTGACAGTGTTCACCATGTTCACCACCTCAGCACGGGCCATTCTTTCGTTCTTCTCAGTCTCCAATATCATCATTTCCTCCCATGTGCTGAGAACTTGACACCTCATTGATTCAAGCTGCTCGGCAGCAGAGGAAACTTTTCSTACTTCTTCCTTTGTCTCGTGGTCACTGCAGCTTTCTGAAAGTATAAAAATACACACACAGTCAAAAGGACAGATTGGGACTGAAAGCTACCTGGTGTCTACCGCTGTGTCCATCGTGCTTGCAGTAGACATACTCGAGTTAGCCAAGCCAAGCAGCACAGCCCAGGGGCACCCACARCATTGCCCCTAGGTAGCTGGTGCTCATGCTCGCTGCACCCGTGCTCCATTTCWGCTGGACTGACCTCTGGCACACACCAGCCGCGCCACTCACCTTTCACACACACCACAACCAAGGCCAGACCAGACCTTCATTCAAAAACCTGGACAGGCTCTGGATACAACAGGAAGGGGAAATCCATGCTGCATCCTCTACCAGAAGYGAGGATTGGTACCATCACATAAGGAGCAGAATAAACATGCTCCTTTGAACTCCCATGGCACTCCCTTAAGCACCCAGAAAATACACTTAATTATTTTTTGGGTCAACTTCACTTTCACTCACATTAAAACACTGTGAGCATACGAGTTTTAAACAAGTTACATCATAAATGTGTGAGAGCTGTGTCACATTGAATGCCTGCTTAAAACAAAACAAATCAAATYAAAACAAAACAAAATCTTTCAGTAATCCAGCACAAAGCTAAAATGTCAGTAGGGAAAAAAAAATCTACCCAGAAGACAGTAAGGTCTCCTGTTCCCTCAGCATGTCTTCGCACCAGCACCCTTTTGATCAGTCAGGGGTGGCATAAGCACTAAACRCAGTTTAAGGTAGAGCAATAGGCTTAGGGGACTGTCTGAAACGTCATGAGGATGAGTGGAACAGAGCATTCATCTCAGCAACAGGCACCAATGGCTCTGCACACGCTGCTGATGGCTCCGGCAGGGAGCTACCCCGGGCTAAGTTCCCTGGGAGCTGCCTGCTCCGTGCCACCTCTGCAGGAGGAGTTGCCAGGGTGGCTCAGCTGCTCCCCATCCAGCCTTCAACACTCTACACAGCCAGCTCATCCTCTTGCCCTGCCRGGGTCTTGTTTGAGTCAAAATCTCTGGCTTTTTTACAGCTTTCCAGAGATCTCACCTACAACCTGCTGGTGCCTGCTCCACTGCAGTGGGAGCTGCATCCTGGGTCCTCACCCTCTCGCAGCCCCTCACCAGGCACCTGGGGAGCGTGGGAAGGTGCAGGTGGAAATGAATAGCACCCATCACTGCCAGAGTCTGGGCTTGGACACGTAACCCATTTTGTCCCTTGTCAGCACTGCTCCTCCAGGTCACGCTGTGCTCTGGCATATGGGTTCATTTCTTGGTGCTGGTCCTCAAAAAGGGGAGCAGCCGGGAGAGGTGACAGACTAAACCTCCCAGGCTCTGCYACTACGGAGTGCTCAGGGAGGGCAGAATCAAGAGGGAGGGAAGGCTCCAGCAAAGGGAATGGGAAGGGGCAGAGGAAGAGGTGGTCCGTCTCTGCAGTGCAAGAGCCAGGGTGCAGCTTGCCTGGCTGGAGCAGTGAGCAGAGCAAAATCCTGRTGGCTCAGGTGCCACCGTGGAGCCTGGAGGAGTTTCAAAGCTGATGGTAGGTCATAATCCACTTTTGCAATATAACAGCTCTGTGCAGATTCAGGACTAGGCAACTGTGCAGGGTAACAAGGATGTTTTAACGACTAAGGGCTGCCTGTTGTGATCCCAGAACACCTAGAATTCCTACTTCCTGAGCAGCTTTATGATAGGCAGCCAGGCCCTCTCTGCCTCCCTCTGGTCTGTTGTGCAGTGCCTGTGTGCAGTCAATAGCTCAGTGAGGTTTGACAGCTTTGATGAAAAAGCAGACTGAAGGAAGAGAGTAAGAGCCTAACTTGAGTGCTGCCTTGCGTGGTCAAAGTATCTGATGTGCTTCCTGCTGCTCTCTGTCCCAAGGGTCAACGGTCACCTGCAGAACAGCTCTCCTTTTGTGTAAGATGGTGCAAATGACAGTGAGTCCCTTCTACAGATCGGGATGGCTACTGGGCCTGGTAGAGGTATAAAGAAATGCTACTTGACAGTAATTAGGTAGCGCCTTTTTATATGGAAAGGCTTTGAAAAATACTTTGGTTAATTCAAAAGAAAAGAAAAACAAATCCCTTTTCCCTTGAGAAGCCCTCATTTGAAGTTAACTTGGAGAAAAATAATTTTGATTGCTTAGTACCTAACCTCACAAAACAAACAAACAAACCCTGATATTTTGCACAGCCTTGCTCTCTAAAGTCCCAGCCCTTGCTAGCCCATTTACACCCACACTTTCATCACTGAGGGCTTCTAAATACAGATATAATACAAAAAGAAGAAGAAGAAGAAGAAAAAATTATATCTTTTTGATGTGACTCATTTTGATTCCTCAGTATGTAATTGAGGAAGGTAGGGAGGAGAAATGTGAGGTTATCTAACACATTTTTGAAATTGGTACCTCGTAAGGAGGRGAAGAGGGAGAAACATTTACCCATTGCTTAAATGTCTTTTAACTTGTTTTATGCAGAAGCATTTCTCAAAAATGCCTTGACCTAGAAACTTCTGATTGTTTTATTCATTAGTCCTGCCGGAGAGCTAGAGCCAATGACTGATTTTATGGGTTTTTTTAGTGGTTGGCTGCAAAGCTTTGGAATTCAAACCTTGTACCATACTGTAGAAACAAACACAATCAGGGCAGCTGCATCCAGGCATACATTCATTGATGTGAAGACAGTTACACTAGGGAGGAATTGAGGCCAGTTYAATTTCTGAGGAAGAGAGAAAAAGTAAAAGCTCATTTGATTGTGCAGTGCATCTCCTACTGAAAGAGAATTTTTAAAAGAGAGCTAAATAGCAGTAGTAAGAACCACACAGGGTGAAGGTGATAACTCCACACAGCTTAGAGCAGGGTAGGACACTAGGCTGCTAAAGCATTGAACATAAACCAGGTTTGGAGCTTTCTCTTTCATCAAAAATGCCTGATGCCTCTGGTACCAGGCATCGGGCATTTCATATCACAACTTAAAAACCTGCTTAAGGTGCATTACAACTTGTAAACTGATATTTTCATGCTCTGGAAGAAGACTATGCCTTGAATGCAGCTTTTCAAWAAAGTCAAAAAATGCAGATGTGCTATGTGATTAGATCAGTCTTACTGCATTCTACCCTGATGGCGTTTCTCACMGATRGATAAATATATATTTATATATAAATTTATAGATTTACGTATTTTATTTTACTATGGATAATTCAAATGTCCTGCTCTAGATTCTACTGATCAAAGACATTATCAAAATTCTACTTTGATTCTACTGATCAAAGACATTGTTTATTTCAGAAAATACGTAAGTTGAGTGTAAACCTCATTGTTGTTATTAAACCAAGGAACCTAACAAGTACCCAAGAAAGTCTGGAGTTTTGTATGGATAATTGCAACCACAAATGCACAAATGCAACCACAAATGATACAGAGCATGTCCCTTAAGCATTAGAAAGTCTCYTATTGACATCACAGGTTTTAGATGAAATCAGGAATAAAAGAACTGTTATGCACCTGACTTAGGTCAGGTTAGGTGCCAGCATATTTTTATAAGGAGGGAAGGAGGGAGGGAGGGAGGGAGGAAGGAAGGAAGGAAGGAAGGAAGGAAGGAAAATGGACAAAACAAAAATTTTTGTTTTGATTTTTTTTTAAACCATTTAGGATACCTTAATACCCTGCTTTGGACCATATTTCATGTTCATTTGAGTCAGCATTGTCATATCACTCACCTGTTTCATCCACAGGGGTCTGGCTCATCCACATCACCGTTTCTAATTCATTCTGCAGTCTAAAACAGAATAAGAAGGAACAACACTTTAGGGTGATCACAGATATATTTTCAAGACCATCCAATAAGCACCAATAAATATTAATGACAATTACATATAAGATATTTCTTATATGTAACGAAGATTATTACTGATGTCTAGAGGCAAAATTCTGCTCTAATATGAAATACAGCAAATTTAAGCTCACAAAACACAGTGAAGTGACTCCAGGTGATCTGAATGCTCAGTGATGCAAAAGAGAGAAGAATTGACTGCATGTGAGAAGCAAACAGGATTCAAACAGTCACCTCTGCTTCATTAAAATGTCAGCTTCTTTTCCTGAGAGAAAAACTTCTTGTTCACTGAGTGGAAATACTGAGGCAATTACACATTACTTACACACATAGTGAGCCATATAGATAGCACAATAACATAAACTGACAGTTTAATTCTTTGTATATACTTCAGCATTCTTATTTTCCCTTCCCTCACCAGAGGTTCAAAATCCTACCAGATGTTCTAACTTTACTAATCAATGTTATTTTAAAATAAGACATCAGTCTGTGTTAAATTGTTTCCTCCACCCACCAACCAGACCATTTCCCATACAAAGAGAGAATTATGTGTAAAGAGAGAATTGCCCACAACAACAACCAAAAAAAAAAAAGGGAAAAAACAATCAGTGTTAGGCTCCTAGTAGCAATGAATGTATAAGAACATCAGATTTTGATAGTTAGTGTTCCTGAATAAAGTAGAAAGCTATCATTAGGATAGAGCAACTTTTGAGACTTTTCTGGAAACAAATTACTGTCCAGCCCCAAAACGTCTTAAAGACTTTTTGAAGACTTAAATCCAATGATTTGTATATGTGTAGCAGTAAAATCTTTCAAGAATTCCTTCAGATCATTCTGGGGTATTTATTATTATTCCCTTTCAGCCCTTTCAGAGAAGGTAATATGCCATGTTTGTCCCTTCTAAAATATTTATAAAAGTTTACATAAAAATCAATCTCTGTAGCCTAGATAAAATTTGCATTTGCATGTTCTATAAATATTCCATACCATGTCCCTCATCCATCTTAAATTCATGGCACATACTACCACATCCCACACTACCACATCATGAATCCTCTTTCTGTGGACATGTGTACACATGTTAGAGTACTGGGCCCCTGTTAATTAGTATCCTGACTGTTTACACTAGTAGAAACTAGTGAACTTGAGTGTCCTACTCCAGAATCTTCACTGCCAAATCACAGACAGTACATTTTGAAAGCACAATGCAAATATTGAAATGTATACACACTAAATACAGTAAAAAAAATTGAAAAGAAGACACAAAAGAAGACACTACATTACCTCTTAAGTAATGTAGTAACATTCACAAGAAATGAGATAGAAAAGAAAGGGAACTCATCAGCTGGCTGACTTGTTTTGCCTTCAGGTTGCTGAAAGACAGAAGTCTGCAAGCAAGATCTCCTAGCRGGACAGCTTTTAGTCTAAAGTTTAGAGTTCTAGAACTAAACATAAACATCATGGATAGCAAGCCAGATCAGGGCTTTGAGCAGGGCGAAGATTCAGAAGCTGCAACATAAAATATCAGGGGAAAGTACAAGACAGAGGCATGGAAATGCTGAGTCCAAAGAAGGCAGGGTCTGTCAGGAAGTCTGAGAATAAGACAGGCAAATAAGGAAGTCCAACTAAGTCCTGTCTCAGGAAAGGACACAGCAAGCACAGGTTACACTGCTTCCCTAGTAAGGAAAGAAGCCAAGGTCCAAGCTCTGAATTGATGATGCAGGCTGTAGTCCTTGTGGCCAGGGAACTTTTCTCTGGCCACCTAAGTTTTTAGTGAGGATCAGTCAGGAATTGCAAAACAAAAATCTTTTCCCCTGCTCAAACCTAAATCATGTATCCCAATGTGACTGATAAATAAAAAGAAGGGAGGAGGTGAGGGGCTGAAAGTGAACAAAGAACAAATATATTAAATAAAGCAGAAATATTTTTACCTAGAGAGTAGGTCATCTGTATGGTACAATTCCTTGGCCTTGTATTAAAGAGGAGCAGTTTTTGAAACTGCTTTTTTTTTTTATATATAACTATTTATTTGTAGCTTCTTTATCCTATCTATGTAGTAGCAGCACTTACTCTTGATTTCTTTCCAAGGCATTTTTGGCTTTCTTCATAAGAACTTGCACATCTTTCCTGACTGTCTCTATTTCTTGAGCCTTTGAGGGTCTTGTTTCCATCCCCTTGGCCTGAGCTTTCAGAATCTGTGAATGTAAAAGAGCAAAATGTGAACAAATGCAAAATATGTCTTTGGATATTTCCTTTTTAAAAAATTGTCATCAGTTTTCAGTAAAATTCAATTCTAATGGAGACTTCTGAAGAAGCTGAACATGAGAATAGAGCTGACATGGCCATGCACGAACCARTAAATTATGGTGGGTTTTAGAGCCACTCAGAGAAGTCCTTGCAATTGGTAAATAGATTAAAGAGTTGTTAAAAATAGAACAAGCATTGACAGTTGCTTTTGTATATCACAACCAGCCAATAACACAGACTCAGGCCTATCCAAAACCCTTGCTTTCAGACAATTCTTTTGGGTGTTTTGCTGCTTAACAGCATGTTACTTATGCTAGACAAAGCACATAGGCTGTCAGAGGTGCCAGGTTCATCATTACCTTTCATTGTGGTTTCAACAGATTGTCAATAATCCACAGAAGTTCCTAAGCTCAGTGCCAAAGGGACTGGATACCTGGGGTGAGATCTGCGGAGCACATCCAAATGATGTGCTTAAGAGTCGATGGATAGTACTCTGCTATAGAGCAAGCAGGRGAGGTGGGGGTGTTGTTTTGAGATATGAAAAGTAAAAAAGAGGAGGAATGCAAGAGGATCAGATAGAGAAGCAGAAATTTCGCTAAAAGTAATGAAGAAAAAGATAAATAGGCCTTTTAGCAGGTTAGAGATGACAGTRCCAGAACAATGAAGTGCAGGGTCTGAATGATGATGAAGAGTTCTTCTGATCAAGAACTGGACCTGACACGACCTGACTTCTGTCAGGGCATTGTGCGGGCCAGCAGTTCCTTAGGACTAGGGCTGGTGTCAGGGACCCCCTGGTGGCCCAGGGCTGGGCCCACCACTACAGCCCATTCTATTTTCCTGGGTACCACCACCAAGACTGGGCCACGCAGTGACCCATGGGTAAGAGTCAGCTGGGAAAGGTATCCCCTTTCTCTTCTTCTGCCAGAAGTGAGATATCACTGAGGGTGGACAACATTCCTGCCAGGCTTATGCTAGTGTAATGCCCTGTACAGCAGGACTTCTGCAGAACAACTACTACAAGACTCAGTATAGACCCACTAAAGAGGAGAYGCTGGCTTGTAATACTGGCACCTTCCTCCACTGCAATGTTTACTGTCCTTGTTCCCATTCAACTTCTAATTTTACCACTCCTACAACAAAACAGACAGAATATTTACCTGAGGCAGCCACCTTACTCCGTGTGCAATGGACTTTATGACTGCAGTTTGCCTCTATAACATGCCCATAATGATCTGGACACAAGGGGTGTTTTGCCACTTGAAAGGACAACTTTTTCCAAGGTCAAGCACAAACCACTAAAACAAGCAGATGATGCTCGTTTTCCATTACTGCTACTAGGTGACACATCCAAATAAGTGATAGTAAGTATGTTCCAAGGGCTAAAGATCCTCCAAATGATAAGAAGAAAGACTCATGTCTGTCTGTGCATCTGAAACATCTATTAAAAAAAACCAAATAAGTCCATGGATTAAATAAAAGCTAATGTTGAGAAGCAAATACTACCTTGTACTGTTCTGTAGGCAGGGAATCTAGAAGCATCATGATGTATTGCTCATACGCATTCTAAACAAATTGAGAGGAAGGAAAACATTAGAGAATGTTTAACACTGTCCAGGGACTATACAGTCTGATTTCATTTTGATTCAAGAAAAATTATATGTCTTCTGCTGGTGCCAGAATCTTTATTTCTGTTTCTGCACATAATCTTGTTCAAAATCCACCAAAGTTGATCAAAGTTAGATTTTACCTTTGCCAACATAATTCTCAGCACAATTAAACTACCCACCTTGTTCCTCTTCTTCAAGCATGTCTTGGCTTGCCTCACTTGCCCCCTATTGTCTCTCCTWCAGTTGCTAGATTTTAGTGGTAATTATTGTGTCAACAAATAGAGAGGAATGACATTTTTCTCCCCTTCAGTTATTATCGGGAGTCAATGTAGAATTTCTATTATCACTAAAACAACACCACTCTGATTTGTAAATCAGAGTGCAATTTGCTTTTCTCACATGCTTTAGTTGTATTCCATATGCAAATTACTATTTCGAGCATCAAAGAAGAGAAAAAAGCAGATTTGTTCCTCTCATAAAGGGTTTCAAAAAATCAAAAGATTAGTCAAAACTGCTTAGTAAGTCAGATGAGAATTAGTACTATTCATCTGCAGCTGTCAAAGAAAGAAGTAGAGAACTAATTTACCAGTAGGTTATTAGGTTATGGTTTGATTTTTTCAAATATCTTTACAGAACGTAAGGAAAAGGAAAAGGAAAGGGAAAGGGAAAGGGAAAGGGAAAGGGAAAGGGAAAGGGAAAGGGAAAGGGAAAGGGAAAGGGAAAGGAAAAGGAAAAGGAAAAGGAAAAGGAAAAGGAAAAGGAAAAGGAAAAGGAAAAGGAAAAGGAAAAGGAAAAGGAAAAGGAAAAGGAAAAGG